ATGGGGTTTTGCAAACCGGTGTGCAGAGGCTCGGGGCTCCCCAAGTTATGATGCGTGCTGTGCGCATGTTTCGGCAAGTTCTTTCTGCTGGGCAGTTTCAACCCGATTGCTGTGATCTCTCCTTTTCCTAGAAGGAAAGGAGGCACAGAGAGGTTAACTTACTCACCCAAGGTCACACAGACAGGAGATGGGGGTGGGGGGCCGGCATTTGAACACAGGTCTTGGAGACTGGCTCTCACCCCATGGCACTGTCTTGGTTTTGTTTGCCAGTTACTGAGCTTGGAGCTGGATGTGGACATGGCTGGGTGTCCCCTGGTCCCTTCTGGGTCAGCAAGGGTCTGGGAGGAAGGAGTTAGAATGGGAGGTGGGACTGTGTTCAGTCTGTCAATCCTGCCTGAGGTTTCAGAGAGGCGAAAGGACCCTCCAGAAACACAGCCTAGCCACTGACAGGGACCTCAGACGCCGAGGCACCCTCTGTCTCGCCCTATGTCCCTCCCTGAGCACCCTCCTCCTCAGCCTCACCCGCATACCTCAGGCACGGAGCTCACTGCCCAGACACAGCAGCCCACATCCCTGTTGGCATTGCCGGTTGGCAGTGCCAGCAAGTTTCTCTTCTGCTCGAGCCAATGCTCACCCCCTGTATCACGCTCTTCCCCCACCTGTCCACGGCTGCCTTCTGGGACCACCAGAATGTGTGTAAACCCAGTTCCCCCTCCCTGGTGTCTGGGGGAGGCCCCTGCTGTCACACTCCCAGCTGGCGTGAGAGGGAGCTGGCGTGAGAGAGCCAGAGGGAGGCCTGGTGGTTCCCAGGGCTGTGTGTGTGTGTGTGTGTGTATGTGTGTGTGTGTGTGGTAAGTGTGACCAGAGAGGGCTGGGGCTGTGTCCCTAGTTGGCCAGGGCCCCTCCGAGAGCCAGGCAGCAAGATTAGGCACAGGCATAGCCCTTGGGCCGGGGCAGGATCCTGCAGGGTGGACCTGGCCCAAGCATGCAATTTGCATCCGTTTGACCTCAGTTCTCCTCTTACTCGGCTGGCTGTGTGGCCTTGGCTCGGTCACTGTCCCTCTCTGGAACTCAGAACCAATGATGCGGGGCAGGGGGAGCGGGGAGGGGAGAGACGCTGTCAACTCTCAGCCCCAGCAGGCAGCCTCGCCTGCAAAGGCCACAGGAGAGCAGGGGAGCTCTGCGCCCCAGATACCACCACCCGAGGGCTTGTGGGCAGGGCCGAGTGGGAGAGAGGCCATCAGCTTTGGGCCCGCAGGCTCCCTCCCTGCACGGCGACCTTGGGCAAATGCACTTGTCACTCTCAGTCTGTTCCCTTGACCATGAGCCCGGGCGACAGCCACTGTCTGACACACGGGCCTCCTCGCTGTGGGCACACAAGGAGCCTTGCCCAGCTTAGCAGGGCCCATGGAGGAGGCCCTGAGGGCAGTCCAGTCACCCCAAGCCCTCCCTGCTCCTGCACCTCCACTGCCCATGATGCAGCACCCCACTGTAGGGAGGGGCCAGCTCCCTAGAGGCACAGTGCCCTGGTCGTGGGTACTGCCAGGGGCTGAATGGGTCTTGGGGAGCAGTGCTTGGCCCCTGCTGTAGGGGCTTCCACTGCAGAGAGCGTTGCATGGGCCTGATGGGTGTGTGTGTGGGCATTGGCCACCCCATCTCCAGGGTGCACCATTTCCTTGGTGTAATTGTGCAAGGACAAAACTGTTGTTGAGGGCAGAAAGCTGAGTGTCAGCAGCTGAGGAAGGATGGGGGTGCAGTTAGCAGGAACCCCGAGTGCCCTGGGAGGAGGGTGGCCTGGAGACTGGATCAGGGGAAGCCTGGGTCCTGTGTCAGGGAGGGAGGAATGTGGCAGCTACCAGGGAATGGTGGGTGTGTGTATAGAGGAACTGGGCATGCACTCAGCTCATTTTGGGGCTGGCCATCTTTGCCTTGTACCTGTAGTTGTCCGGCAAGTCCTTCTGTGGCCTCTGGAGAGCAGCAAGCAGACCTGGGGGAGGTGGGGGTGTCCTCCTAGCCCGCTCTCAGCCCCTGTGCCCCCAACCCCCCACCTGCACGGAGCCAGGCTGGCCTGTGCTGCAGAGCTGCGGGTTGTGGGCAGAATGAGTAATGAGCCCAGAGGGGCCGCAGCCCTGCCCTCCCCCTCCTCCCTGTTCCCGCCACCTCTGCCCCCACCCCCACCTCTGCCCCCACGTCCGCCCACAGGTCTGTGTGCCCTGCCCTTCCCTCTTCTCCCTTCACGTCTCATCACACGTCCACAGACCTGTAGCACCACCCCCTCCTGGGCTCCCATCCACATCACCCCCTCTCGCACCAGGTGGGCTCCGGACCAGTCTACCCACCCCCCTCCCCCACCGTCTGGGATGGAAGGGGGACCCTGCCTCTCCTCTACTTCTTTGCCATGGCGCTCTGCCATCTCCCTCGAGGTCTGGGGTATGTGTGTGTGTGAGTGTGACGGGGACCAGGCAGGGGACCAACCCCGCCTGAGCCCCGGCCAGTGGACAGCAGCACGCAGCGCCATTCCCTTGCCAGCGGAAATCGATAGCTAATTAATTCCCTCCCCAAAATAGTGGCCGGAGGTGGGGGTGGGGGCCGGGAGAGACCAAGACCCCAGGGGGAAGGGAGGGCAAGAGGGAGGTCAGTCAGTCATGTCTGCTACCAGGCTGGAGCTTCTGCTGGGGGCCTTAGTGGAGGACCCCTTTCGGAGAGGAGGGGACTGCTGCTTCCCCTTGCCCCCACCCCCACCCTATGCCTGAGGGGTACCCCTCCTCTGTCCTGGGGTAGGGCAGGATGCATGTGTCCGTGTGTGTGTGTGTGTGTGTGTGTGTGTGTGTTGGGGGGGACGACTAGGGTCTCAATCAGGCCGGGAGCAGGTGCTGCATTTAATTTGATTGGCTAATTAGCCCGCGCATGTTAATTATCCCCATTACCCAATGAGGAGAGGCCGTGGAAAGGCTATATATAACCCGACTGTGTTTGTGAGGTGGGGGTGGCCACCCTCAGGAGTTCCTGTTGGGGCCTGTGGGAAGGGGCTGCTGTGGGGTGGGGACAGCCATCTGATGGAAGGGACTAAGGGCTGGGCATTGAAAGTGTCTTAGAGGTGGCAGCCCCAAACACTGACCTGGGTCCCCAACACTGCCCGCTGCTCCCCCTGCTCCTGGCCTTCTCTCCTCTCCCACCCCACTCTTCTGCTGGTCTCCCCTCTCTGGGCTGCACCTGTGGCACCTCTTCCTCCACTCCTTCCAAGCTGGAGCCAGATGACGTGTCCCAGCTCCCCACCGACTGCCCGTGTGACCTTGGGCCAGTCCCAAGCTTTGCGCCCTGGGCTTCCCCCATGGCTAATGGCTATAATGGGACTCCTCTAAGTGATTAAGTTAAATGACATTTGTACGAGTGCCCAGCACCCGGGGCCCTGACAAATGCTGCTTGAGTGTGGGATTCCATTTTCTTCCATCTTCTTTCGTTCTCCATCGCGCCGCCTCTCCTCCATCACTCTGTCCCTTCTCCAGCAAGTCCTCTCGGCCCCTTGTTCCCACAGCCCCTCCCACCCCCTCTCGCTCCCCTCGGTCCCAAACTTCCGCCCCTCCCTGCTTCTCTCCCAGGCATCTCCCCACCTCCTTCCACCCCTCTCGCCCTCCCCAAAATAAAATCAATGCAATATTCAGGAGGGTTGTTGGATATAAATAATTACGACTCGGGAGTTTAACGAGATGCAAATTCCCCTCCCCGGCGTGGGGTATAAATTGCTCTCTGACAGCCCGTTACAAGGGTAATCATTTCAGAAAGGCAATTTTATGCAAATGAGCCTGCCTGCCTCCTGGTGGCTCCCCCAGCCCTGGGTGAAGGTGTTGGTGTTGGTGGGGTGGGGGGAGACTGCGGATGGAAGGGGACCTGGGCTATGAGGCCAGGACTGAGGCCGGATGACAGATCCCGAGGCTTCCAAGCTCTAGGGCTGAGGAGCAGTGGGCCTGGGGCCCAGGAATGGGGGGCCGGGAGAAAAGTGTGCTTTTGGAGGGACTGGGACACTCCCCTGGGCGGGTGAGCGGACTGGGGGCCCGGATGCCTGGGTCCTGGCCGGCCTCTCTCTCGCCATCCCCTTCCCAGCCTCGTTACCGGGTGATGCCGTTGACGAATTGGCATTTAATTAATCCCGATGAATTATTTAGCAACTTCATTATCCAGCATCAGGGGCTGATGAGAGCCGAACGCTGCTCCGAGTTTGGGGTGGCTCAGAGAAGGGGCTGGGGTCAGCAGCTGCCAGGAGGGGCTGTTGGGTTTCTGGACCGGAGCTGGCTCCGGAGGGAGGGAGGGTCAGAGCCGCCCGACTGGGTTCCCACCGAGCTCTAAAAGGTGGCCCTGGATGTGAAGGAGTGTCACCTTCCCCCTCACCTGTCTGCCTCTCCACCCCGGGGCCGACCTCAGGGCCGCTGTCCGTGGTGCTGGCGCCCGCTCGTCGCGCCCACAGAGCCCCCAGGGAGCTCAGTCGGGCACCTGCACGCGTGAGGGATGGGGCTCCACAGCACGGCCTGCCCCC